AGCCCTGAGGGCAGCAACAGGGCTTGGCTGTTGTCTGTTTCCCTGCACACAGAAGGTGCTCATTACTGATTTGTGAGTTGTCCAGCATTCCCTGAAGTTGGCAAGTGCATGCTGGCAACCAGGCCTCTGGTTTCCAAGGTGCCTGCCAAGTTGGGCTCCCACCAGGGGAAGAAGAGGAGCCACGCAGGGACCCTCCACTGTGGGTCTTCTGGGAGGAACTTCACAGAACATTCAGACCTTAGAGTCCCAGCAGCTGCGGGTCTTGAGGCCGGAGGGCCCAGCGGTTGGGAGCATGGGTTGTGGAATCTGGCAGATCCAGGCTCAGATCCACGTCTCCACCACCCCAGGGTGTGAGCTTCTGGAGAAGCCATCTCCCGCCTCCCTGACCCAGTTCTGGGTTTCCCCACATCTGTGTCGGGAGGGCTGATGCCTGCCTTTCGGGCATGTGGGAGAAGTGAACTTTCTGGGGTAGGATGTGGGGCTCTGGGAGTGGCACCTACAGGAGCAGCCGCTGGTGGCCTTAGCGAGACCTTATGAAATTGCTGTTATGCCACAATTTTTGACCCACGAAATGGCAATTTATCGGAGCTCCACCTGATAGTGTCATCTCCCTAATTGCCTGGTTACGACAGTGAGCCTGGCTTGGACTCCAAGAGGCATCTGGTTCGGGCTCCTCCCCAGCCCCATCCAGGCTCAGCCTGTGCAGGTGTAAGATGCCTCTGCAGCCGCCCTGCCCAGTTCCCTTCTAGTCATTTGGGGAGAAGGAAACCGGGAGCCAGTGTCAGTGTTCCAAGCTTTGATACTGACTCAGTTCTGTTCCTACTGCATCAACCCCAGTGTCTGCCAAGGTTGGGAGGCACGGCAGGGTCGAAGCACTGCAGCTATCTGCAAGGGGTGCTGGAGCCTCCTGAAACTCCCCCAGGGGCAGGAAACGGCAGTTCTCTGGGAGGAAATGCCACACAAGGTCAGCAGTGTCTTTGGGCTTCACTTGGCCACTCAAGGGCTGATAAAGTTTGGGTTCCTCATCCATAAAATGGGCTTATAAAGACATCTACTTCACAGGGGTGTCACGAGGATTAAATGAATAAATATTTGTCAATCATGAGTAACAAAATTCGTAGATACTGTTTGCAAGAATTTTGAGAAAATATTGGGAGTACCAAAGGAGCACCCAACACTTTGGAAGACCATCTGAGTGCTTGGCATTTGTACTTGATTTGAGGTGGGTATTGTCAGGGAGGTGGGAGTTTGGGCCAGCCACAGAGTGGCTGCAGGGGTAGGAATGAGCCCTCCTACTGACTCTGAGGTCCCTCTCCCCTGCCTTCCTTGGGCTTTCCCTTTTCTCTAATACATAAGGGACAAACGCTTAGAGAAAGTGGTGGCCTGTGTAGGGGCTGGAGCCTGCAGGTGTCCACAGCCCTCCATGCGAGGCCTTGCTCAGAGCTCACGGGCTGCACAGGTCAAGTGAAGCAATCCCCAGTTGAGTGCTCAGGTGGGTCCCGGCTCTCCAGGCACCATCTAGGTACTTGGCAACAGTAGGAAACTTCCCAGCCCCGCAGAATGCAAATTCCACCAGGCTGTGTTATTCACGCCCAGATTCCCAGAGGAGATGCTGTGCACAGGTGGAAACACAATGAATACTTGCCACAAGAATGAGTCAAACTGTAGCCTCTGAGGAGGTTGGAGACAAAACCTGGAAAAATCACACTGTGAAAACCAATTCTCAGCTCCTAAATGACCCTCCAAATCCTATTGATTCTGCTGTCCCCATCTCTAGGAGAGGGACTCCCCTGAATCACCACTGTCTCTGCTTCCCCCAGGATTTTATTGCTCTCACCTGGAAAATTGCAGCGCGCTCACTTCCCACATCCTTCCCCTGGAAAACAAGAGAGACTTCCTACAAACTAATCACATTGGATCCCTCTCTTGCCAAAAAAGCTTCCCATTTCCTCCAGGCTGAAAGCAAATCCTATGGCCTGTGAGCCCAAGCAAAAATGCCCCGAATCCTTACTCACCAGGGAAGCAAATCAAAATCACAGCAAGATACGTGGGCACATCCACTAGGACAGCTGGAATCAGAATGACAGAGTGACCGAGTGCTGATGGGAATGTGGAGAAATCCAAGCCCCTTGTCTGCCAGGGAGATTTTAAATGGGACAGCTGCTGTGGAAGATTCTGGTGGTTCTCAAAAAGTCAAACACAGAACTACCATGTGACCACACAATCCACTCCTAGGCACACACTCAAGAGAATGGAGAACATGTGTCCACATCAGACCTTGGGCACAAAAAATGTCCTTTGGGCATGAATGTCCGTAGCAGCATTGGTCACAATAGCCCAAAACTGGAAACAACCCAAATGTCCATCAAATGATGGATATAAATTGCGGTTGTTTTAGTCCATTTGTGCTACTATATCAAATATCACGGACTTAGTAATTTATGAACAATAGGGTTTTTTTTTTTTTTTCTCATAGTTCTGGAGGCTGGGAAGTCCAAGAACAGGGTGCTGGCAGGTTCAGTGTCTGGTGAGGGCTGCTTGATGCCTCCAAGATGGTGCCCTGTTGCTGCCTACTCCAGGGGAGACAAATACTGGCAGAGGGAAGGCAAGAGCCATAATCATCAGAGCCATAATCCCATCAATTGGTGCTAGCCCATCTCCTAAAGCCCCACTTCCAATACAGTTACCTGGGGGTTCAGTTTCAACATGAATTTTTGGAAAGACACAAACATTTAAAGCAGAGCAGTGGTCTATTCACATAATGGGATAGTGTCCAGCCATAAAAAGAAATAAAGTATGTGCTTTGTGCTACAACATGAATGAACCTCAGAAACATCACCATAAGAAGCTACACTCAAAGACCACATATGATTGCATTTATATAAATTGTCCTGGATAGGCAAATTGAGAGAGAGAGAGAGAGAGAGAAATTAGATTACTGGGTAATAGAGAGTGCTCATGGGGTGATGAAAATATTCTGGAATTAGATAGTGCTTACTTGAGTTCTTGTGTCCAGAGTTGTAGAAAGGGAGAGTGGGCCTGGAAAGAATAGGGGTGCAGGCAAAACTTTATGAAGCACTTCTGCTTGGCCAGAGGGAGCCAGCACTTGGGGACAAAGACCTCAGGTTGGCTTGTTGTAAGGACAGACGAAGCAAGGCACCGAACATAGCAGGAAAAATTTTATTTGGCTGCAGCCAGGTTCAGCGGGCACAGCTTTTGCTGTAATCCAGGGAGTTTCAGAGTTTTATACCCAGCATGTAAGGGGAGGGGCTCAGAAGTCCACAGTCTGCAGAAGTTCACATAAAAGCAGCTTTTTCTTTCACTGTTCTGGGCAAGTTAACCCTTCAAGGACAACACCTGAGAAGGGGAGAGCTGCTTCTCCTCTTTCTTTCCTCCCCCTGCCAGCTGTTACCATGGAGCCCAATTGGTAACTTCTCTTAGCTTAGAAATGTAGACATCTCTGTGAAGCCCAGCTCAAGGCCAGAGGCCTTGTTTGCACATTTCTACAAACTACTATACTGGATACATGTTTGTGAAAAACTAGGGGGTGTCCAGCACCTGGAGTGCTGGTATCTTCCTGGTCAGTGGCCAAATAAACAGGGCAACACGAAAATAAGAAGTTTATCTACATTGGACTCTTTTGTAGAGTCTCTTTTGCTGACAGTTTAAAAATCAGCCATGGTGGAGATTTCTGGAGAAGCCCAGTTAAGACTTTTCTGTGGAGAAAGAGGGTGCCATTATGGGCTCAGGTGAAGGATAAGGGGAACAGCTTTTCTGGCTCCTGCAGGGTAGGCAGGAGCTTGGTCTCTTGACATGGTCAGATGTGGAGTGGACTCCAGTCATGCCACGTGCTTCAGCCTGTGACATGTGTCTCATCACTGTCTTAGGTGGGGGCTGTGGGTTTACTATGTTAATAAGGTGACCGTAACTGTGGGTTACTTTGGTGACCACTCTAGGCCGGAATTTGCCCCTCGCCGCCTGGAGTCGCCCTTATCATCTGGAAAGTCTCTGATATTATTTTCACAATTGCAGACCCCATGGCCTGTCTGGAGCTGGCCTTTCTACTGACCACAGTCTCCGGAGGCTGAGCTGACCCCCAGCCTCCATCCTGGAGTCGGGGCATTTTTGCTCCTGATCTCCTTGTACTGCTGTTCACTCCACAAGACCCAGAGGTGGCCTGGCAGCCCTTTGTCCTAGGGGCCTGTTTCTCAAGGGGGTCCCCAACTGCCAGTGGCACAGTCTTATGAAAATTCTGACACACCACTGAACCATACTCTTAAAAGCTGAATTATATGTGATACGAAATTATGCATCAACTGTAAAAACTGGGAATGGTCCACGCGGCTAGTGGAGCAGCCAGGGGCCCCCTTCCTCTCCCTGCCCTCTCTTTTCTCTAAGCCATGGCCCACCAGCTCTTGTCACACTCACCTTGCAGAGCGCCCTCTCCCCTCGCCTTAGTGCAGCCCTGCTCCTGCCCGGCAGTCACCTCTGCCCTCCCGGATCTGCTCCCTGCCTTCTCCCGGCTCCTCCGCCTTGCTCACCCCTGTGCAGCTCCTTGGTGAATGTCCTCAGCTACCCTCCCAGGGTGCCGCTCACGTAGAGAAAGTCTGGGCCCTGGGGATATTTCTAATATAAACATTTTCATCAGATTACACCAACACTGTTGAATTTTCATCAGGGACGTGCTTGCCAGAGCGAACGGCTTGTCGCTGAAATAGCCCTTGATCAATTTTCTAAGAGAGCACAGCTGAGCTGCTTCTGCCTCCTGCATGTTTTTTAAACTTTTAATCATATTCGACCCTTTCCTGTCTACAGTTTATAATGGTTGTAACTGGTCCTGTCTTCTTGGATCAGAGTCTGCAGGTCTAGTCTTGTCACGAAGACTCAGTCCCTGCAGCCCTGTCGGGCAGTAGGCCTTTCTTTTCTGGTGTAGCTTGGGTGCCTTTGAGTTTCAGATCATCACATTGTCTAAACAATAACGTTCACTATGACTTGGATAATCGATTGATAGGCTCTTATTTATCAAAAAAAAAATAAATTTTAAGTAAATAATACACGTACAGGGTGGAAAAAGGAATAAAGAGGAAAGCCCGTTGCCCCTCCTGCTGACCCCACTCTCTCATGTCTGCCCCCGGCGGCCATGTCGTGGACAGGGCTCCCCAGGAGGCTGATGGCTCTGCGTGGGCTTCTGTCAGGAGGCCTCTCAGGAAGGGCCCTGGGCGGAGGGAGAAGCTGGGCTGAGACACAGTCTCCAGGAAAGCTCAGCTGACCCCAGGGGCTCAGCAACCTTGCTGTCCCCAGTTGGGACAGGGTCCACCTGGTCCTTCTGCTTTCGTCTGATGGTGACCGCACACAGCCCTTCCTGGAGATGACTTTTGGAGTAGCCCAGCTGGGAATTAGTGTCCCTGAAGGAGAGACCAATGTCACCAAGTTATCTCCTAGCCCCCGCTACCCTTTTTAGCTGAATACTTATTATTATTGTGGTTGTCATACCTCTGGGGGCTCCTCCAAGCCAGTTAGCAGTCAGGACCCCCTTTCTCTGTCATGCCCCCCACGGCTCTGCCTGCCTGGGGGCGGGGCCCACACTGGGGTGGGATGGTGGGTGTGCTGGGCCTTAGCCCCAGGCAGCTGAGGAGCAGAGCCTGAGAATTCAGGCTTTTTCTTCTTTCTTTTTTCTAAAGCAACTTTCTAGGGCTCTGGAGTTATAAAAAGCTCCCGTGTGTCATTTCCTGGCAGTTGGACAGCTGTAGAATGCCACTCTGCGAGTGCCAACTGCCCCTACCCCATCCAAGGTTTTACATCTGATCAATGTGTTGGTTCTGACAAAAGCTGCTGAAGGTTATCATAAATAATAAATAATTTTGTAAGGCAATTGCTTAATTAAAAAATTTTTTTTAAAAATCTTTATTTTATTTATTTTTATGTGGTGCTAAGGATGGAACCCAGTGCCCCACACATGTGAGAAGAGCACTCTACCGCTGAGCCACAACCCCAGCCCCATTTTACAGCAAACACCTAATACAAAGCACACTTTCCAAATGTTCCCCACGATGTCTCTGGAGGGCGCGCGGCCAGCTGCAGGGAGGTAAGTGCAGAAGGAACCCCCTGGGGAGAGGACAGGCCACCTGGACAGGGGTCTGCTCACCTGTAGGTGGAGCTCCCCCTGTCTTGGTGGATGGCTTTGGCCCCTGACACAGATGTGACTGCAGGAGACACATCTTCCCTTTCTGCCTGTCCTCCTAGCCCCAAGGAGACCTGCCCTGTCCTGCAGAGGGAGAGATTGTTCCAGTCGGGAGACCATGCCTACAGGATCCCCGCCCTGCTCTACCTGCCCCGGCAGAAGACACTGCTGGCCTTTGCAGAAAAGCGAATGAGCAAGAAGGACGAGCACGCGGAGCTGATCGCCTTGCGCAGAGGAGACTATGACGCGTCCGCCCACCAGGTCCAGGTAAGGCAGCCGTGGCTACAGACACTCCCCTGGGATGGCTCCCCACACACCCCTTTGCTGGTGAGTCCAGAGGCACCCAGGCCTGGATCTCATACAACGAGGGTCATTCCATCCTTCCACGGCTAAGGGAAGGGCACAGGGAGAGCAGACACCTTGAAGCCCAGGACGGAGCCAGGAAACCCTTCAGTGGTGGGCACCCCAGGCAATCCCAGTGGTCACACTGGCCTGGGTTCTCCAGGACAGCAGGTCCTGCTGGCCTGGCCGTCGGCTTTCGTGCATGAGTTTCCCAACACCCTTGAGACCGCAGGGAGGAGCAGTTCATTACCATGTAAACTGGCCTCTTTGAGTGCAATTAACTTGAGGAGCTAGGGGTGGGGTGATTGTTGTGTCCTAAAGTTCCAAAACGTAATCTTGATAAAGACACCCAAGGCTGGCTTACTTTTTTTGAAGGGTTTAGTATTATTATCATTACTTTGTGGTCATTACTACCTAGTAGCTATTCAAAGCATGACTTTTTTAAAATTTTGATTTTGATTGACACATAATGACTGTACATGTTCATGGGACTCAAAGCAGATAGACCTGGGTTCAAGTCCTGGTTCCATTTCTTACCAGAGGCATGGCCTTGGGCAACTCGACCTTATATGAGCCTCTCATTCTCCAGGTGTGAGATGGAACTACTAATACTTGTCCCCTAGGATTAGGAGATAGATGAGGTAGTGCATTTTAGACCTTTGGCACAGCATCTGGGATTAGAATCCCTTATTGGGGGTTACTGCTAATGAGTGGGGATGAACGGCAGAGCTGGGGCGTGTACGGCGGACTTGGGCATCCAGGAAGGTCAGTGTTTAGTCCTCAATATCTTGAGGCAATGCCCTCTTAGGATGCATTAATAGAGTATCATGCATAGAAGATAGGAGGAGGGCAACAGATTCTATCTGGCACTGGTCCGATTATTGAGGCCCCCACTAAGTCTGACGTTCATGCTAGACTGGGCAGGTAAATAGGAGCAACCAGGGAGAAGGCGTCACCGCTCCTCCCGAGTCATCTTTGTGTCTTGGCGTCTGGCTCATTCTGGGTGCTCTGTATGCAGATGGGAATGGAAGTGACAGAGCTGCTCAGTGAAAAGTGGGCACCAGGAGGGATCGGAGAGCCCCAGCCCACAGTGCTCTGAGGAGGGTCTCAACAGTGGTCCCGCCCCACCCACCCCTGAGAGTGTGGCTCCTGATTCGGCCACCTGCTTCAGTACTGTGCTTCCCTTTCCTCCCTCCCCCCACGTCCAGTGGCACGCTCAGGAGGTGGTGACCCAAGCCCAGCTGGAGGGCCACCGGTCCATGAACCCGTGCCCACTCTACGACGAGCAGACCGGGACCCTCTTCCTCTTCTTCATCGCCGTCCCAGGGCAGGTCTCCGAGCGCCACCAGCTGCAGTCCGGGGTCAACATGGTGCGGCTGTGCCTCGTCACCAGTGCTGACCATGGCCGAACCTGGAGCCCTGCCAGTGACATCACCAGCTCGGCCATCGGCCCCGCCCACGAGGAATGGGCCACCTTTGCAGTGGGCCCGGGGCACTGTCTGCAGTTGCACAACCACATGCAGAGCCTGGTGGTGCCCGCCTATGCCTACCGAAAGCTTCCCCACCACCCCTCGCCCTCCCCAGCCTCCTTCTGCTTCCTCAGCCACGACCACGGCCGCACGTGGCAGAGAGGGAACTTCCTGGCCCAGGACTCCGTGGAGTGCCAGGTGGCGGAGGTGAGGTCCCGGGGACAGAGCGTGGTGTACCTCAACGCCAGGAGCTCGCGCGGGGCCCGGGTGCAGGCCCAGAGCACCAACGCGGGGCTGGACTTCCAGGGGGCCCTGGTGACCCGAAAGCTGCCCGAGCCGCCCCATGGCTGCCACGGGAGCACCGTGGCCTTCCCCAGCCCCAGCTCCCCAGACCTGTGGCTGCTCTACGTTCACCCCACTGACCCCCGGAAGAGGCGCAACCTGGGCGTGTACCTCAACACCCGGCCCCCCGAGCCTGCCGCCTGGTCGCAGCCCACCCTGCTGGCCACGGGCAGCTGCGCCTACTCCGACCTGCAGAGCATGGGGCGCGGCCCCGACGGCTCGGCCCAGTTTGGGTGTCTGTATGAGGCGGGTGACTACGAGGAAGTTGTTTTCCTCCTGTTCACCCTGAAACAGGCCTTCCCAGCCCAGGTCCCAGCCCCATGAGCTAGCCACCTGCTGGCACGCTCCCCGGCCCACACTAGGCACCCACAGTGGCGCTGATTATTTCCCATTCCTTTCAGTGTCCCCGGAGGTCACCTCTGGGTCCCTTCATTAAGTGGCAGAGAGGTCTGCTTCTTGGCGTCTTTGCCTCCTTCACTTTCCAGTCTTCCCAGAAGGTTCTGTTTACATCCAGAAATCAAAGGAGCCTGGCTTTCCCCAGCCCCTTGGCAGCAAGACAAGACAGGCTGCACGGTGGCTGTCACTCTGCACGGTGGCTGCCAAGCTGCAGAGCTCAGCCTGCCTGCCCCCCATTATTGTGATGTGCTTGATAAATGACCTACTCCAGCCCCCTTCTTCTTGGGGATGCTCACGGTGTTCCTGGGGAAAGGCTAACCTGAGGATGTGGATTAGCAGAGGTGTGTGTGTGTGTGTGCGTGTGTGCGTGTGTGTGTGTGTGTGTGTGTGTGTGTGTGTTTTCTTGTTGATGCTTCAGAGCAGACAGACTGGGAAACAGCTTTGCAGAAAGGTTAGGCAGGGCCGAGAATAATTAAGCTCACTTAAGTCACTGTGTTCCTTTCTTAGGGCTGCCACAACAAATTATCTCCAACTTGGTGGCATAAAACAAGAGAAATGTGTCCTCGCCGCACCTCAGGCGAGAAGCCTCAAATCAATCTGTTTTCAGGGCCACAGTCTCTCCAGAGACTGTCCCTTCCAGCTTCTGGTAGATCCTGGTAACTCTTGGTACCCCTCAGCTTGGGGCTGTATGGCTCCCACCTTGGCCCCGGTCTTCACATGACCTTCTCTTGCATGACCTCCCTAGTCACTCATGAAGACGTTTGTCACTGGATAAACCAGGATCAGCTCACCTCCAAGATCCTTAATGACATCTGCAGAGACGCTTTTCCCCAGTCAGGTGACGGTCACAGATGCTGGGGGTAGGAGGTGGATGTAAGTTTGGGGGCCACCACTCAACCCACCATGGTCATAAGCACTTGGTTTTGCCCAGAGGACGTGGCTGAAGGCAGGACTGAGGTTCAGATGGATCACATAGTTTGGAGGAATCGGGGTGGGGCGGGGGCTGTTAGCTGTGATCCCTGGGGCAGGGCTGCTGTAGGACCCTCACTTTTCAAGGTGACCAGAGGGCCATGTGACACTGAAGAGACAGCAAGGGTGCTGGGCTTGTGGTTCTTGCCATAAAGCCAGAGTAGGGAGAAGGCCGCCCCTGCTTGTCTCAGGAGCGGCCACCTGAGAGGGAGCCAGCCTGGGTGCAGGAGCAACACTTTTCTGACTCCCCGGAATTTTTAAGGACTTAGTCCTATGTCTTGGGAAAACTTGTCCCCTGCTCCTCCAGAGCCCCTCTAGTGGGCGCAGTGACAACAGTCATAGGTTCTTGCAGCTGAGTGGCATCTTTGCCTGGCCCGTTGTGGGGGTTGGTCCTAGGCACTGGCCACATGTCAGGATGCTGCTTCTCCTGGTGGGGTTCTGAGAAAGCCAGTGGGAAGGATGAGGAATTGGGGCCTGGAATGGGAGGTTAGGCCCCTCCGTTCTGGGGATGGCCACCCAGTGTCTTCCAAACCACTCAGAAGAGGCTGGGGTGGAGGCTGAGGCTGAGCCTGGGGGAGAGGCTAAGGTGGGCAACCCTGTAGTGTATCATCCAGCAGGGACGCTCGTGAGAGTCCGGTTACACTTGTTAACAGGCACTAACCAGGGCTGTCCCTGGAAAGTGGGGGGTTCAAGTCAAAGACCCCCCCTCCACGAGGACTGTGCCAGAGGCGGCACCACTTACTTCCCTGGCAAAGCTCCTCATCTGTTTAGGCAGATGAGGCAGGAACGGGAGGGGTGCCTGGCCACTGTCAGGCCCACTGTCCCTCTCCTGAACTCCAGGCTCTCCCTGGGTCAGCAGCTCCCTGCTCCAGGCTGGTTAGAATCCCCTGGGAGCTCTTCAGCAGTGCTGCTGCCCGTGCCCCACCCTGAGCCACCAGTTCAGAATCTCTGTAGTGTCCCAGGCAGGCGAAGGTCCCTAAGTTATTCTAAAGAGCAGAAGGCTCAAAACCTATGTGGGCTGGGGATGTGACTTAAGCGGTAGTGCGCTCGCCTGGCATGCATGCGGCCTGGGTTCGATCCTCAGCACCACATATAAACAAAGCTGATGTGTCCGCCGAAAACTAAAAAATAAATATTAAAAAGTTCTCTCTCCCTCTCTCTCTCTTAAAAAAAAAAAAAACAACAAAACAAACCTACAGGCACTGGAGATCTCTAGAATTCCTTCTGGTTCTGAGTATATACGAATGGCAAATTCTTCTTAGCCAAATTAAAAAGAAAAAAAAAAAAGCAATGGCTGATTTGATTAAAGCTGAATTGATCAGCCTCCCAAAAAACTCCATTAAGAGTGTGCAAAGAGTGCAACCAACCTGGAAAGCAGTGTAGAGATTCCTCAGAAAACTGGGAATGGAACCACCATTTGACCCAGCTCTCCCACTCCTCGGTCTATACCCAAAGGACTTAAAATCAGCATACTACAGGGACAGCCACATCAATGTTTACAGCAACACAATTCACAATAGCTAAACTTGGAAGCAACCTAGATACCAGTCAATAGATGAATGGATAAGAAACTGTGGTACATATACACACAATGGAATATCACTCAGCAATAAAACAGAATAAAATTATGGCATTTTCAGGTAAATGGATGGAGCTGGAAAATATCATGCTAAGCAAAGTAAGCCAATCCCCAAAACACAAAGGCTGAATGTTTTCTCTGATAAGTGGATGCTGATCCATATGGGGGTGGGCATGGGATGAGTGGAGGAGCTTTGGATTGGGCAAAGGGGAGGGAGGGAAGGGGAGGGGGCATGGGGGTACGCCATGAGATGGACATCATCACCCTAGGTATATGTATGATTGCACGAATGGTGTGACTATTTCATGTACAACCAGAGAAATGAAGAATTGTGCTCCATTTGTGTACGATGAATTGATGAGCATTCTGCTGTTATGTTTAAATGACTAGAACAAATAAAAAAAATTAAACTAAAAAAAAAATTTAAAACATTACAAAGAGCTGGGCATGGTAGGACACCACTGTAATCCCAGTGACTCAGGAGACTGAGGCAGGAAGACCACAAGTTGGAAGCCAGCCTCAGCAACGTAGCAAGGGCCTCAGCAATTTAGTGAGACCCTGTCTCAAAATAAAAAATAAGGACTGGAGTAGGGCTGGGGATATAGCTTAGTTGGTAGAGAGCTTGTCTTGCATGCACAAGGCCCTGGGTTCAATCCCCAGCACCACAAAAAAGAAACAGGGCTGGAGTAAAGCTACTATTTTATTAGGTATTATTATTAAAAAACCATTATATGTATCACACATAACTGGCAAAAGGCTTGTATCCAGAGTATATAAAGAGACCTCACCAATCAATAAGAAAACCAATCCAATAGCAATGGGCAAAAGATGTGAATAAGCCCCACACAAAAGAGAATATTCTAAAGGCTGCTAACCCGCGGGAATGTGCTCAACACTCTTAGCCATCAGGGAGATGCAGACCCAAACCATGAGACGCTTACCCCCTGGGATGATAGAATTTAAAGGAGTGGCAATAGTGAGTATGGGCAAGGATATGGTGCCATTGGATCCCCACACATTTCCAGAGTAAGATTTGCTGGTACAATCACTTTGGACAGCTATATTTGGTAAGATTCCCCTATGACACGGCAATTCCACTCTGAAGCACGTATCTAGGAGAAACGAGTGCATACAGCTGCCAAAGACATGGAGATGTGGCTCTGTAGCCACCTCGTTTACAAGGAAACATTCACCCTGGAAACAACCCAAATGTCATAAAAATAGGATGGGAACGTAGCTTAAGAGATGTTCATGCTCTTGGAATATTATACAATCAAGAGCAAACTACTGCTACACTCAATTGCATGAATGATTCTAAGTCATCATGTTGAGTGAAAGGAATCGGCATAGCACACACTTCACAACAGAGTATGTGCTTAGCCAAGCGTGGTGGTGCATGCCTGTAATCCCAGCGACTTGGGAGGCTGAGGAAGGAGAATTGCAAGTTCAAAACCAGCCTCAGCAACTTAGCAAGGCCCTAAGCAACTTGGTGAGACCCTGTCTCTAAATAAAATATAAAAAAGGGCTAGAGATGTGGCTCAATGGTTAAATGCCCCTGGGTTCAATTTCCAGTACCAAAGAGAGAGAGAGAGAGAGAGAGAGAGAGAGAGAGAGAGAGTATTTATGAAAGAGTACATACTAGATTTTCTATTTATATGAAGTTCAAAAACAGGTAAAACTATGGTACGTAAATCAGAATAGTGTCCACTTCTGGTGGGAGGAGCCACTGACTGGGAGAGTTCGAGGGGGAGACTTTCAGGTTCTGGAAAAGTCCTTTTGTTGGATCTGGGGCTGGTTATGGGGGCAACTCCAAACACAAAATCCCACGAGCTGTACACTTGAGATCCACGTACCTTACTATATGCATGTTATGCCTCATTAGAAAATAAAAGTAGGACTGAATCTTTCACTTACTAGTTTAAGTTCAGCAGCAATGTATCAGGTTTTAAAACTTTGGAGTGGAATTTTTGAATAAACTTTTTATTTTGGAAGACTTTTAGACTTTATAGAAAAGTTGCAAATCCAGAACAAAGTGTTCTCAAGATACCCAGTTTCCCCTGTGTTAGCATCTTACATAACTGTGGTACATTTGTCAGAACTGAGAGATTAATGTTGATATGTGACTAGTGACTAAACTCTAGTCTATTCAGACTTCACCAGGTTTTCCACGAACATTCTTTATCTGTTCTAGGATCTAGTTTTGTGATACCCTTAGTGCATTTAGGGTATGACTTTTACTGTAAGAATTTAGTGTTCTTAGAGACACATTCAGGTTGATGCACAGGTCCAACAGGCCTTCCCTCCCCTACCTTTCCCACTTTCTAGCTAATAAATGAATAAGCAAATGCAAAAACTGTGTGCTTCAAGCATGCATTGCTGGTGTGCAAATGTCAGAAGTAATTCTGAAGCTCAAGACGGTGCCCCCCAAATCAATTACCCCAGAGCTCCAGGCTTTTAACATGTTGTGGGGTGGGATGCAGGACTGGCCAATTTTGAGTCCAGCCACTTCTTGGGACATGCATGAGCTAGCATGGGTCAGACCCCACTGGAGACTGGGGAACCAGGCCTGGTCAACATCCCAGCTGCTGGATGGTCAAGCAGAACAGAACACAGCAGGTTCAGGGAAGCCAACCCACTCCCTCTGCTCAGGCCAGTGACAGCTGAGCTCCAGGTGTGGAGCCCTGTGGCTTGATTCTCGCAGACATTTGACTGAGGGCTCCTACAGCCGGCCTCCCCTCTGCGCAGCTACCCCTGTGCAGGCTGGGGTGCAGCCACTGAGGAAGGGATCCAGAAGCTGGGGAGGGACCTGGCAGCTAGCACATCTGCCCCTGGAGAGGAGGGCCAAAGCCTCGAGGAGGCCCACGGGGTCAGCTGAATAATAGCCTTCCTAAGGATGTCCCCTCCTGATCCCTGGAAGCTGTGAAGGTCGCCTCACATGGCAAACATTGTAGAGGAGGCGACATTCACCTTGGGATGCACGATTATCCTGGATGTGATCGTGTGGATCAAGTGTCCTCATGAGAAGGAGAAGAGACTAGAGGAAGAGGTCATGTGACCCCAAAGCCACATGCTGAGTTGTGCAGCTGAGCTGGGGGAGAGGCCAAGGGTTCTGCGCCAGCCTGGGCGGGAAGTCGGCGGCTCACACCACTGCAGCCCAGGAACGGACTGTGGATTCTGCCCTTCAGAAATCTAAGAGAAGAGCTATGTATTGTGTTAAGCTGCCCAGGTCATCAGGCGCGTGAAGACGGTGGTACACAAGCCAACGAGAAGTCCGCCTGACAGTGGAAACAGCCTGACATTTGTCAAGGCAGAAAAGGAAAAGTCTATCAGAGTCATCTTTTGGCGGGGCCCACCGCAGCCGCGACAGAGTCTGCGTCCTCCCCTGAGAATTCTGACCAGGCCAAAGCCAGGCACACGTGTGTGCACATGTGCAGACACACATGCACACATGCATGTCAACACACATACCCATACCCCTTGATGCACATGGATGTGTAGAGTCTCTGCTCCGGGCCTCTCTTCTCAGGGACCAGCTCTTCATGTTGATTCTTCTTAAAGGAACCTCCTGGCTGGACACTCATACCAGCCCCCTCCCCCAGATGCCTGTAGTTCCATCTAGTGCCAACTCCCTAGGGTCCTGGAAGCCCAGTGGTGCTGATAAGAGGCTCTGACCCTCTCACAGCAGCTGAGACTAACCCATCAGCATGCCACCACGAAGACTAATATAAGCCTGTGGTTCCTTAGATTAAGGTAAGAAATCTTAGCCCTTTAGAGATGAACGTGAGCTTGAAGTGAATACAGTCTGACCTATTTGATTGGCAGGTGGGTGAAAGGGGGTCCCATTAGGTCCAGTGACTTCCTTCGGCTCACAAAGGTAGCGAGTCTGGGCCAGGAGACCAACTGCGTTTTCTGATCCCAGATCCATGCTCCCACATCTGTTCCGGAAGACTCCATCATCCCTGTCTGAACATCCATGAAGTCCAAGGGGTCTCGGGTCTGACAAGTGGAGTCCTGCTTGGCCTGTCTCGATAGCTGTGCCCAGAGTCACTGGACACCATATCACTGTCCCCACCCTACCCTCATGTCCTCACCAGAGGAGTGGAGAGACGTCAGCGCAGGCCGACAGCCCTGGTTTGCAGAATTGCCAGAGTACGCAGAGCTGAGAAGCACATTCACCCTCCCTGTCGACAGCCTGAGAAGGCAGCAACTCCCAGGAGTCAAGCAGAGCTGGCGGGCGAGCTCAGAGGCCCATGCTGCATCGTGAGGACTCAGCGCCGGGACCATACTGCCATCCGCGTCTCATCCCCAGCAAGAGGAGAGGAAAGGAAGGCGTCCAGGATTTAAATGTGCAGCTCAAGGAGAGGTGAGGAAGCTGACTGTATTTTTGGCAAGGTACTACTTCTTCAAATTCCGTTTTTGTTCTGCTTTTAGAAAATGTTTCAAAGTAATAGATGCCAAACATTTAGAGATGCAAAGAACCAGGGAAA